GCTTAAGAGAAGGACTAAAGACTAGGTTTTCTTGCTTCGAAAGTGTACCTATGAAGAAGAATGAGTGGATCGTTAACAGCGGATGTGAAGTCTTTATGTAACATTGAAATGCTTAGCAATGAAACCGACAACCTTTCCAGGGTGGGTGTGGGTGTATATATGGGCGAGGATGTTGGTGAAAAAAGAACCGTACTCACCCATACCTACACCCTCACACCCGCCCACATCCAAACCCAAGCATATCCACACCCACACCCTTCGACAAATATGGATATCTTGTTCTTCTATCGTTTTATCTTCTATCATAAATACGAGTAAATAAATAAGAAAATTAGAAGTCTTAAATTTATTTTAGACTGCCAAAAAATTCAGACATTCGATAACGAAATACGTTAAGAGAAGATTCGCAATTCTTATTCTATTTAATCTTCTTGATTAACATGGCTACTGCTTTTTTACCGGATGATAACTCTGACATAAACACCGGTGACCAGTATTGTGAAATTTTTTGTCTTATCTGGCTCGACGCTCGTGCGAACGCTAAAGATGTTCGAGATACAGAACAAAAATTACGTTCTATAATTAATCGTCTGAAGAAGTTTCAAGATGTGAAGCAATGCCAAAAATATATTGAACAAATATCACAAACTGAACGAGTAGTCATGATTGTTAGTGGCCAATTGGGACAAGAAATAGTTCCTTTTATTTACAAAATTCGACAAGTTATATCGATCTATGTATACTGCATGGATAAGGAAGGCAACAAAACGTGGATTGACAAATTTGCAAAAGTACAATTAGAATGAATGATTTAGATTTCATTATATGATTCCTTGTTTGTTGATAGGTAAAAGATGTTGTCGGTGACCTTGATGAACTTATCTCTCGAATTAAAGCTGATCATAAAATTCAGAAAAAAGTCGAAGAACCATTATCAATTAATATTTTTAGCGCAGGTAAATCAACAACAGGTTTAAATGGTCAATTTGTTTTTTCACAAGTTCTAATTGATTGTCTTATCCGACTGCAATACACTGAAGCGGATGAAAAAGAACTCATTCATTTTTGTAAACAACAATATGAAGGTAATAGTGTTGAATTAAGAAAAATTAGTGAATTTCAACAAGATTATTCATCTGACAATGTGTTATGGTGGTACACACTAGAATCATTTTTTTATAAGACTCTTAATGCTGCTCTTCGGATTCCAGATATTCATACCATTTTTTTATTTCGTAAATATATTACTGATATTCAGCATCAATTGAAAAATAATCAAGCTACAAATTTGCTTCGCGTTTATCGAAGTCAAATGATATCAAGTGATGAATTGCAAACTTTGAAAAAATGTTGTGGTGACTTTATTTCTATTAATTCATTCTTTTCTACCAGCATGGACAAACAAAAAGCTCTTTCATTTCTCAAGGTGCCCGATGGTACTGAAAATTTAGAGGCTGTATTATTTGAAATCAATGCTAATCCTAAGATGGCAATTACAAAACCATTTGCTGATATCAGTGAATATAGTGAATATGGAGGCGAGTCTGAAGTGCTCTTTATGCTTGGTTCTATTTTTCGATTGGACAGTGTCAATTGCAACAAGAGTGATCAAGTATGGATCATCGAAATGACTTTATGTAATGAGGAAGAACATCGTTTGAAACAAGTTCTCATGGATATGAAACAGCAACTTAGGAGTGGAGAAACAAGTCTTCAAACGCTAGGACGACTACTATGGGAGATGAGTAGACTTGACTTGGCTGAAAAATACTTTATTCGCTTGTTAGAACAACTTTCACCCAACGAACCGTTACGTTTGGATTTGTACCAAGATCTTGCTAAAGTAGCATCAACGGCCGGTAACTTTGATAAAAGTATGGAATGGCGCGAAAAAGCAGTTGCATTGAAGAAACAAAATCCATTAATTTCGTCTTCCAGCATTAGTAGACCAAAGAATTCTTTTGGTAAGTTGATTAAGAGAAAGCCTAATATCTTGAAATAGAAGTCCTACGTTAAAATTAATACTTGATGAGCGCAAAAAAATTTTAAAATCAGGCAAAAGGTGAATAAAAAGCATAACCAGGTCGATCAAGAAGATCGAGATAGTTGACGATTAGAGTCGAATCAATGGAACAAATCTTAACTATTATTGGCTCGATTTATAAAAAGTATCTTCTTCTACGATTTCTTTTGCATTCTTTTAGGATAAAAGTGATATTTATATCTTGTCCATCTTTCTTTATTATGACGCTAATGCTGAGACAATTGAAGATGTTCTTTACTAAACCCCCCTCACATTAAAAGACCCCGGGCCTTCTAATATGTTTGAGCGTGTAAACTGTCTAGGTGGATCTTATATTAAGGAGGGATCTTCTAGTGCGATTTTCACGAAAAATTTTTCAAAATTTTTCAAAAAAATTATTTTATATTTGGTATTGCTGTTTTCGCAAAAACGACTTTTTTAAACGAGTGCTTATGTGACGTTTCTCTTGTAGGTGACTTGTTCTATGAAATACGACATAAAAGATCTGTTGAAGTATATACGGAAGAAATTTGGATCCACTGCCCCTGTAATTCCCCTAAACATCATGACAGATACCCTAAAACATCATCGAAAACCATGGTAGACACAGAACCTTTCCACTTATCAGTTACAGACTGCGGTAGACTTTGTTGAATTATGATCTTGAGGGTGGGTATGGGTGTGGATGTGGGTGGGTGTAGGGTGGTATGAGTGTGAGTGTGGGTAGGTGGGTGTGAGTGTATGTGTGGGCGTGGGTATCAGAGACCGAAAACGAGTCGAGTACTCGACAAATCGACTCGACTCGACTCGGTTCACGCCGAGTCGAGTCGAGCCCGAGTGCGAAGTTTGAGAAATGTGTCGAGTCGAGTCGAGTCCAGTCAGATCTACTGTCGAGTCGAGTCGAGTCGAATTTGACCCCAACGATTCGACTTTTTAAAAATTTCTTCATAATTCTATCATTTGTTTCTCAATATTAGTCATCGTCATCGTTAGACGAACCGAGATGAGACAATGTCAATTCATTTCAATGAATAGGTTGAACAAAGCATTAAAATGAATAGACAGCGATGAACTGACGACGCTCAATAAACTACAATGAATGATATACACTAGCTTTCATTGTATTCAATGCATTATTGACTGTTCAAAGATTAATTAGAATGCAATGACTTGATTGATCGTCAGCCTATGTAAGTGATCGGCATGCGACGTGCAACAGATTTAGTAGTGTATTGCATTATTTCATTATCTATCGCAAAAAGATTATCAAAACAGAATCGATGTTTATATGATCAAATATTTGATCATATTTAGAATATTGAAATCGATGAAATATGTTAACCATTCCATCCAATAGGACCGTTTCGAATAGTCTTGGAACATTTATGAGGAGAAGAAATCAGCCTGCAGTATTGCCGAAATCGCGCAAGAAAATGATTCAGAATTATTCGAGACGATAATTCCAAGCTCTGAAACCGAGTAGAAAACTTGTAGAAAATTTCTGTTTCTGACAGAGAACCTCCGAAAATCGATAGAAAATCGAAGCAGTACATCAAGTGGAGAGAGCGAAGGACTTTTTCGATGACTTCCGACCATCTTTGAGCGACAAAGACAGGATTTTAATGGGAAGACAC